ATTCTAATGATCGTTATAAAAATGTACTAACCCAGTTGTTTTGACTACATTGGTAGTTCTAGTGTTAATCCTTTAGTATACCTATTATTAATGGAATTTAATGCATTTATAGTATTTACAGTTGCCTAAAACTCACAGTATAACAAAATGTTTAATAAGGTTCAATGAGGTTTTCATTTTACTTTGAATCTGATGGAACCCTTAATAACAATTTTTATTTCAGTTCCAGTTTTTTAAAAATTAATCCATAAAAATCTATATTTGCATAAACATTTGAAATCTAATTGTTAGTATTAGTGGCTATTATAGTAACGGTGAAATAATTTATTCGTTCATTTCACGCAGTGAACTAATCAGTGTAAGCTATCTTAGTACTTAACTAACGTCTTTTCATCTATTACGTTATTAGGTACGTAATAATTACCGTTCTCAGCGTGCTTCACTTCAGCCACTTTAATTTCTACGAAAGTGGGATCAATAAATGTACAATTAGTCGGCGGAAGCGTTCCGATTCTAGTTTGTCTCTGTCAAAATCAACTAAAAATGAACGTTTGTCAGAAATTGAACAGCTATTCATAAACTGAAGAATTTTTATTATTAACTTGTTACAAATGGCCTATTCTACAGCCACGTATATTTAACTTGACGTTTATGAATGAAAATGATCGATACAGGTTGTTCTTCCATGCGAAAATTGAAGTATGTACACTGTTGTTTCCATTTCATCAAAGTGCACATCTATTTTGTAAAAAATCAATTCCTGCATCGCTTCAATAATATTCATCATCGTTCTCCATCGTACTCCGCTTCTAAAAGAGGAAAATGAAATTAACGAAATAGAATAGAATCTAATAGTAACTAATAATAATGGCTATTAATCACACATTTTCCGTAAAACTTTCGAAAAACGAGGTGGAACTTACATCTCACCGAAGTCAATACAAAACTACAAATCTCTATTACCGCAGATCTTGATCCACTTTGCTCGCCACCAGAAAAAAAAATCACATCAGATATTTTACGGATATTCTCGAAATGTTCCACGTGTTAAAGGGACCTCGAGACAACTGTTATTTTTGCGATTCCTCGAGCAATTCACCAGAAGTCGCATGATTGATCGTGTTGCAACGAGTGGTGCGGTTAAGATCGGTGTGCGTGCACCTTTAAGCACACAACTCGGAGATACACGATCGATCGCAGCCGAGGTCGACGTACTCGCACGTTAACTCGCGAACTTTCATAGAATTTATTGTCCTGTTCATAGAGGGAACGATTTCATCGACGTTAGTCTGATCGAACGCGCGAGTTTCGTCGGCCCTATGGTTGATTGAACGTCCATGGTAGGTCAATTGGCGGTAAAATTCATCGTGAAATACGACAAGAGCGAAATAATCGAGCGAGAATGCGCCGTCGTTCCGCGATAATCCGTGATCTTCATCCAAGAATGCGTGATAGTCGACGTTTCAAAATCGATGACGTATTTCATTTTTCCTGGAATTAGATACGCCCGATTGAATTACGCTACAATTGGAATTCTGTGTACACTAGAGATCTAGAACGTGCTACATTTATCGCGAACTTTACACGCTTCGATTGCACGATTTATCGCTCCGTTAATAGGCGTTAGCTTCCCGATAAGATCAAGGTCCCCATCTGATTGCGACGAATTCTTTTTCCAATTCAGCACAAGTGAGGTGTCGTGAATTCCACGCGATCTTTTTAATGAAACTGTTTACTCGAACGACGCGACGTCCAGAATGATGTAGGAGTTCGGATTGTAGTAGAACGCGTGAAATGACTGCTTCCGTTGTCTTTGAGGCAATATTATGATATATTATTAATAGGTGTATTTGTTTAAAAACTAATAATTAAAAATAAATTGATTAGCGAAAACTGTTTCGTTATCCAAACGCAAAAAGGTTGCTGAATAATGGAAACATTGTGATCGATCTTACTTCAAATTTGTAGAAAAGAACATTTGACTTGATAAGAACGTTGAGATACATTTGGAGTGAAACGCGAATACATCGAGTTAAACATTTGAAATCTTAAAACAGCTGTGCTGTGTCCAGTGATCCAGAATTTAAATTTAGCTGTTTTAAATAAAAAATGATTGAACTAATGAGATCTACTATTTTAAAATTAAATAAAGAACAAACATTTATGATTATTTTCTTGTTCAAGAGGGTTAAGATATTTTGAGTAGGACGTATGTCCTACTTCAAAAATTAAGGGGATTAATAAATTATTTACTCATATACTCAAAAATCTATTAAAAATTTATCAAATGGTTAAAAACAAAAGAAATACCTAAAGACTAATATTCAATACTAAACACATGATAAAACCAATGAAATTTTCGAACAATATTTACTTCTCTGCCATACTGTTTTAGGACCTATCAAATTTGATTCTCAATTATTCGACCATGATTACCAACCAAAAAAATATACACTTTGCATAGATATAGATTCATTCAAACAGCTAAATTTTAGTCCTGGATCACTGTGCGACGAGCCGGCAAGATGGCCACCATGAAAATCACTCGACCCTCCGTATCGAGGTTTTCGAAAGCAGGCTCGCTTTTCACGTCGATCTCGGTTTCCGATAACCTTCAAGCGAACCACTTCAGAGACCAGCCTTCGCGAACAACTTGAAGTTATTCACGCGAACGATCTATTTATACACGAAAATAAATTACACCGTATAAATCTGGTTGCGAGTGCACAGAGAAGGAAATCGCGAAAGGAGAGTTCATCTTTTTTATTCACGCGAACCGGGGGACTCGTCAAGAAAGTGTCGCTTTCTCCCAGAGGCAATTTCGCAATCGCGACATATAACGATAGGGAGACCTCGATTATCGGGAAAACACCGATGGAGTCGCGATAATGACGAACGATTGAAAGGAAACGGAAAGTTTCGCAATGGAAAATAGAAATTTTCTTAATAATATAGAAAATGGAATTTTTGTCTTATTGGTCGCGGTGAACGTTCCTCGATGGGGATGTATCCTCCGGGGTAGAATCGGGGAGAGAGTGTTTCCACGAGAATTCGGCTCGAGATACTCCGAAATCAGCAAAAGGAGAATCCTCGCGATGGTGAAGCGGCGGTGGCCTTTTTTGAAAGATTCTCGATGTCTAGACGAAGTTCCCTCGTGTATTTCGACGGCCTCGGGGCGCCGTCGGAATTCCTTGCTCGAAGGGAAAACTGAAATTCGTGCGAGCTACTGCACAGAAACTCCATTCCCTCCCCCCTCTTTTTTTTCACCTTGTCTCGTCGTAGTCCTCGTCGTCGTGGAAGGGAAAGTTTCGAACGCGCCGCCTCGAGGTGGTAGGGAACGGGATTCGAGTGATTGATAACGGCGATCCTCCTCGTATCGCGATGCCAGACGTGAAATATGAGCTTGGCTAGAATAAAATTCACGCCTGTTACCAGGGAAGACGTCGCTCAGCTGCGATTCGAGCGCAAATACGAAAGTAACTAACTAACTTTAAAGGTCTTCGGCTCAGCGGGTACCAATATGGCGGCAGACTGACTGAAACCCGGCTTCGAAGACTTACGAATTGGTTTTGTGGGGTTATATACAGGGTGTCCCACCTAACTCTGCCATCTTCAATTATTCTTTTATTTGTCACGGTACAAAAAAATGGTTCAGGAGCAAGTTAGTGTATTTTAGGGGGAGAAATGAGATTGCAGGTCATCTCAAGGTCTTATCTTCTAAGATTTTTCTAATATTAACGTTTTTTTAAACGGTATGCCCTATTTTTTGTGTGCCATTACAAAGAGGAGATTAAAACGTATCCAACAATGTTTCACACTATGGGGTGACAACACTTTGAACATACACTAAAATAATAAATAATGTGATTATGGAGTTTATTTTGTTCTGCATTTTTTGTGAGCTTCCATCTCAACCAGTTACGTGCGAAATTTACATCATGAAATTATCATCAACATGGTTTCGCTGTGAAATGGTTTCCATGATAAATTGTAGAGGCTATATAGAAAGGAATGAATTGGGTATTTTCGACGACGATTCTTCTGTTGTAAGTAACATGAGTATTTATTGTTGTTAAACGTGCAATTTAGATAAATTGCATGAGCTAATGTTCATGTTTTTAAACGTGTAATTTAGGTAAATTACAGTACATAATGTTCATGTCGAAAATACGAAAAGCACTAACTTCGAATGTTTTCTGTTACTGGTACCAATATGGAGGTCGCTGGGCAAAGTTTGACCCCCAGTAGAGGATTCAAACTAGTAGTTATTCAACACTTTTAAAGATTTATACGAATGATAGTAATAATTTTCTTGGTGTAGAGATACTTGATCCTAAATATGCACTGTTTACAATTCACTTAACGCCTGTTATAATTGAACACGTAATGTACCTAATTTTTAAATTGTATGCATGAAGAACACTGGTCGATTTTAAAGATCTTCTGCTACTGGCGCCAACATGGCGATCGTCGCGTCCGACTTGACCCTATTTAAGGGCACCGCGTACTCTCAAACACTTTAATAAGAATGATAGGATTTAATTGGTCATGGACACAGTCTTATAAGGACACTTACAAAGATCTACCAGTACCAACGTGGCCGCCATTGGGTCAAGCTCGGCCCTACTCAAGGTCTCCCAAGACTCTAAAAGATTCTCAGACGAATGATAGGGCTTAATTGGTCGTGAACACTGTCTCGTGATGGAATTTTTTTCCACGAGAAACTCGGGGGATAGGAAAGAGTTAATTAAATTGTGATCTCGGAATTGAGTATAAAGCCGTGTTCACGCTCGTGCACGAGTCTTAGACAGTCCCTAGAGCGAGTCTAGCGCGTTACACGCGTGGGAACACGGCTTAATAATCGAGAAAAGTATTTGCTTTACGTGTCTATTGGCGAAAAAAAATCGAGTAACCCGTTTCGGTACTCTGTTTCACGTAGATCGTGCCGTCTCTTCCACGGAGACCGATTTATTGACATTGACATTTTTCTGTTTATATAGGCTGCCGTGCTCGTTAATGGCTGCCAGGGTCATCAGCTAGAGGCCGTATAGCGAAGTTTGGAGCTGCCAGTGCGATAACACAGCCCGTAACCGATGAGTGTAAGTAAGAATCGCCTTGTTCCGCGTTAAATGTTGGTCTGGTATCGTGCAGTGCTCACTTTTTACGCGAACGGTACTACGCGGAAGTCTCTAACCGCGCGTGTTACTTCGATAGCATTCCCTTTTAAAGCGGTTTTATTAACATTAGATGTTTATTCAGCATACGGCGAATTTGTGCCACTCTACCGATTAATCTTCTTTTTCGAATATTTCGTGTTCATTCATTCGATCGAACGTGAGTAATTGGAGAAAACACTGTAAGTGTCAACATTGAAACAATTTTTTTATTACAAAATATTCTACGTGCCAATGGGAAAAGTGTAGTACACAATGTAAGTGGAATTTCCCTCTGTAAGTAGTTACGAATAGTGCTAAAATAATGATGTCACTGGTACGTCTAACGTCGCCTCCGTAGTTGTAAGTGCCAGTTCAAAGAATAAATAAAACTGGCACTTATAATGTTTGCAAATTTAAGCGAATAGTATATTGAGTTCTTTCCACAACTAAGAGGTGGCGTATACAGGGTATTTTATAAATACAATTTTCTTTTTCATGAATTTGGACTGCATTAATGCAAAAAATAGAAAATTTCATGGTGCATTTGGGTTACTGTATTCTTACTCACATTTAGCAATAAAAATAAATCAAATTTTGTAAATACTTCAAACTCTGATAAGTTCCCTTTTTCTCTTGAAACATTTGATTTTTCATCGGTTACAGAGTTTTTTACGAGTACTCTTCAATTGTACATAATCACTATTGTTTTTTCTGATCTCCAAAAATATTATTACAGTGTTAAATTATTTGACAGTATCGTTAGCCAGCATATATTCGTTCGTTATCCTTTGTTTTACGATTTCTTTGACGACCGTACTCTCCAGAATTACTTTACTGTCAGTAACATTCCGGGAACAAGAGGATGTCTATACTTATTGCAATCGTGTATTTACTCGAAAAGTCAAATATTAATCTGTAAAATAGTATTTCACTTCGACCTAAAGGAAACGAATAATATTCAGGTTCATTAAATCTATTTTGAAATCGTTAAACGAGCCTGACTCGATGCTATAAGACAAGGGGTTAACACAGTCACTGAATATAAATTCAAATGTCGAATAATACTATCCACATGAAAGAAAAAACGAATTTATTTTTGCACTAAATTCATTCATGATAGTCTTTTATACATTCATATATACTTTCCATTAAAACTTAACGTCTCATAAAATAACCACTACTATTATGATGTTTTAATAGTCGTAGACTTTCGAGGACAAATCATAAATCGCAGTTTATCTCGCCGCACATGACTTTTCATAGGCGTGTCACGCGAAATCACCAACCGATCGGCTGCTCCGATAAGCTACGGTCATGCTTCTCGTAGTCTCGCGACCGATCGTTCTCCATCCTCCAGTTCTCAAGCATTACAAAAACGCGCGGAAAACTCGAACGGTAACGCGGTGGCACAAGGCACCACCCGGGATCGAATTAAAACCGAGCCGTCGAATTAAGTCCAATAAAGCTGGCCGGTTCTGCATCGGAGTAGCTGGACCTTATGCCCCACGGTTGAGACAATAGTTTTCAGGCGCGAATCGCTCGCACAGAAATTAATTAGAATCGGCCAGAGGGATCCTCGCGACCGGTTACGTCAAAGCCACGCACGCAATATCATCGACGATTACGATGTTCAAGGGTAAAAAAAAAATACCAATACGATATGGCGAACGCTTTCGAATTCGATAATGTGTCCAGTCCCGTGCAGTTATCAATGTTTATTTACGACGATTCCTCGATGATAATCGGGCCACTCTTAACCGGACGCTTATCTTCGGGCAGGTTAGATCGGCGGCCGGCCACATGGTGAAGCAGAGGAGGTTCATCGGGAACACCAACAACAAGATGATCAACATACGAGAGTATTTGTAGGCGATTTTTAAGCAGTTCAAACGGGAGGATCGCAACCTGACAGCTTGAATAGGAACCAAGTGTGTGAACTAGACGCGCGACCGATCTGCATGTCGGTGACAAAAGATCTCGACCTACGGGGACTCCAGACGAAGACGACGACGACAACTGGTCATATTTTTTCGACAGTCGACGTATCGGAAGATCGTGTGTTCCAGCCACGGTGAATGGTAAAATCAACGATCTTCGGATAGATACCTGACGGAGGACGATCGAGCGGCCGTGTTGGTACACGCGTCCGCCTAGCTATGGTCTGCCCGCGACCTGGTTTCCTGTTTTACGTAACACGCCACAGATGTTTTGTTTTCTCGCACAGGTAAGCGATGATTATACTTGCTCTCGAGCCTCGATAATTACTCGTAATCAGACTTGAAGGATTGAACGGATATCAAATGACACGTTAACCGTTAACTAAATGATTCTGGTGCTGGATCTCTTTCGATTTATAGTACGCTCGGCCTTTTGTCTGACATACAGTGGCGAACATATATTTACGAATATAGTAATTTTCAATATTTTCTTACATTTCACAATCGAACGAACGTAGAACAAAATGGTACCAGTAGAGGTTTTGGTAAGCTTAAAATAAACATTAAAAATATGTATGATGTTTACCTTCGTAAAATTGATACCCACAAGTATGTCCCTAAACATCGCGCGTAATTTGGAATTTAAAATATCTCCTAGATATTCGAGATATTCGAGAGAATCGGCTGACATAAAGCACCCTGTATGAATGCATAAAATCGTCTAGTTATGACAGTATACCCGGAAGTAAATAACTTTTAACCTATCATTACATTCAAAGCAGTTATTTCAATGGATAATAAGAGTCACTAGAACACTGATACATTTTCCCCTCGCTCTGCATCCTACCGAATGAAATATTCGAAACACAGGCTTTGTAAACAATCGTCAAATCAGCCAGCCTCACCAATCACACCAAAGAAACCAGAATCAAAAAGTAAAAAATCCTCTCATCGAACGAGTGATTCTCGAGGTATTCCATCGCAATCGTCTGATCCAGCCGTTGAAACAGATTCTAATCACCGAACTCCATTTTCAGATTCAATTTATCGAGAGTTCGTACGAGGACCGAGCGTAGACAGCCTTCCCCGGAAGTGTATTAAAGAGACAGTGCACGAGACAAGGCTGCTCCCGGTCCGTGGGGGATTATGAATCGTGGCACGCGCTACGATTAATTGGAATTGACGCAAAGATCTCCCGATCGTGTAACACGCATCAGCGAGTGCTGTATCGCGTTGGACAGGTACATCCAACCAGGAAACTTTCTAAACGCAACCGGCAGATTGGGAAAGAGGGATACGATTTTTCGTCGGTGGCTCGTCGCCGCTGGTATCTGTCTCGTATCTCTGTCGCCTACCTCTCTGGTAATCCGCGAATCCCGGTGAAAGTGATGGTTCGTCCGGACGAATCACGTGTCGCTGTAACAATCGTGTCCTCGTCGCGCGATCCTCTCTCAGGGAAGGGGGGGGGGCACAGTGGAAAATTTACGACTTTACGGCCCGTTGGATTCGACCAGGCGTTTTGCGATTCTCTTCGTGGCCGAGAGATGGTATCCTACCTATAGTGCGAGCGGAATATATAAGGGAAGAACAGTTTTCGAAAAAGCTTTCGAGGGGATAGGGGTACTCTCAAGATGTATATACCGGATAATTTATAACGTGTGGGTGTAACTTCGCGGATGAATATATATTTATGTAAATATACGCTGGCCCCCGCCCGGCTAAGAAGTTCCATGCCACCCCCACCATCTTCCCTAAGTCTTTAAGAAACTTCCTCTCGGAAGGATATTTACGGGCCTGATTTCAATTTCTGTGTTAAGCTGCACGTGAGTAACGTCTTCTTGGGATAGAATGGTCTCGACAAAGTGTTTGTATAAGGAAAAGTTTTGGCTATCGAAAGGGGTGAAGGATGATGCGGGTTTCGGAGCTTCAGTGTTTATGGTCTGTTGGATATTGTTGTTGAGTCGGAGACCTTTTTAGTTCGAGTATTTTCAAATCGAGTTTCACAAGTCTGATGAGTATAATACTGATGCTAAAATTCGCGATTAAACTGTGAGTTTCACCATTTAATTGTGTTTGAGGAGTATACTTGTCATAAGGGATTTATCACTTTTTGGGGTAATGACGAATGTGCTTGTTATGTGAAAAAATTAAATACCTTTCGCTATAAAAATTGAAACTTTAGACGAAATTGAAAAAAAATATTTCTTTTATTAGAATAAAGGAAACAAACGGTGTAAGGTTGTCATGTATGTAAATTTTGACTAGTTGATTAATTATTATTCGTATTTATTCTAGATTAAAGAATTGAGTAGAATAATGTGGTTTTGTTAATTTTTAGAGCCTAAATAGTGTGCAATAGGAGTGTCCACACTGGCGATTCCCTAATTCTTTGAAATAGTCTATCGAACAAATATTACAAAAGTAAAACAGTCTGTATGAACAAAAAAAAACAAATATTAAAATTGTTTACAAATACGACGAATAATCGTTTATTATCAGACAAGTTGCGATCACACGTTATGAATCAGCCTGTATCTCCATCGCCAGAGGATCCCCGTGGTTTTCCCCGAGTTCAAATTCTAACGAGCGCGCCCATGGAACGTTTAGATAGAGGGCAGGGACTGCCGTTGAAAAATGGACATTTCGAATGGGCCGACGAGAAGAAACGCACACACCTGAGGAGTACATATATTCGTCTGTATTTCACGCGCGAGATATCGTCGCGAACGTTCCACCATTCGCCAATATGCTTTCGTGGCAAATGGCGGGCAGACATTCCACTGAATGTTGGTTAACGTCGAGTTTATTCAAGAGCACTTTGTCATCGTTTAGCGACAAGTGTATTTCAACACGCGAGAGCGTCATCCCAGGCCGTTGTTCGATTTGTCCTCGCGCTAAGCCGAACGGTTCGTGTATAAGTATTCCAGACTGAATCAGGCTCGGTGCACAAGAGCGATGCGTTGGCGTAGGGATTTCGCAGCTTCTGTGTCAATGACCGCTCATCTGCGCGATGTATGAGAGTTTTTATCGAGTCGTTCGTATTCGGTGGTTCGTTATGGTACAGGTCAATGTAGCGAGCAACTAATAGACGATAACAATACAGTGAAGTAGTAAACACATTGTCAGTAGAGACATGAACAGAGGTTTGGCAGTATGCAAGTGGTGGCTAACCCAAATTTTGACCAGTTTTGTGTAAATTATTCTGTATTGGATTTCTTTTTACGTGGCCAAGATATAGCACGTTTGTAGAATTCAGCCCCTGGGAGATTAGGTCTTATCAAATCTACGGGTGCCGACCCTCAGGGGGCTAATTGTACGAGTTTCCTACATCTTATCTGTTATATATTGTATACATTACTGGTTAATTAACTCCTGTGTCTATGTATTTGTTATTACTAGACTACAGATATTTACCCAAGAATAATAATTTATAGAAAATGGAGTGGGTTAAAAATTTCTTCGCTCCATTAAGGGTTCTATTATGGTTCTAAATAAAATAGAAACATCGTAAATCTTTGCGAAGCTTTTTATCATACTGAATGTTAGAGAGTAGGGTACACTATAAATGTATGAAATCCACAGTCTAGGTACTATCAATGTCTATACTTTTACTTTACGAACAATTTTTGGCTCGGACATATCGTCGAATCTATGCCATCGATACGAAATCGCGACAACGCCACCATCACCCATGTGCACCGAGCTTAAATCGATGAACATGCTGTTAAAACGAAATCTGAATCCTCGGTCCAGAATGCTCTGCGACGCCTTTAGTAATTAGTATCGATCGAATGTCGTTAACCACAACAGACCAGGAACACGACTCGACTAATCTTTGGTTTCTGTTTGCAGGTTCTTTTTTTCTTTTAGGTTTCCAGCGTTTTTAGTATTCGCAAAAGAGACAAGGGGACAAGCCAAAGTAAACCAGTGATATCTTTAACGCAGTATTTTTTCTTCCATAATCGAGGAGAATAGAAAGTGAAAAAGTGAGGGAGGCGAGTTTGACGAGTCGTAGAGTGCCTCAGAGATACTAAAGGATATAGAGGAGGAAATTTCAGTGAAACGAAGTTATTGATACTACAAAGAGAATTTATCATTTGTTCCTACGACTCGGGTGCCGTCAGCGGCAGATTTTCTTCAAAATGGTGAGTACCAAATTATAATTAATATGCACGTTACTTCTGCTTGACAGAGGTGTTCAAATTGTTAGGCTCGAAACGATAAGAAAATATAAGACATAAAAAAGTTCTTATCTTTTTCAAAATTTCATCGTTTCATTAAGGGGTATATTATGATTCCAAATAAAATAGAAACTACCTCAATCTTTGTATTACACTGAATGCTAGACACCATGACACTAATGTAAGAGACACTAAAGATCTTATTCTATCCAAAATTATGTTTTCAACGCTAAAACTACCGAAGCAGTCAGAATGACTGGTTAGTACACTCTTATAATAACGATTCAAATGTTACAATAATGCATTTTCTCGGATGTTTCACAACCTTTGTATCAAGTGAATACCGCAATAGCACAGTAACAAAATTAGTTAATTTATAAATTTGTATAATTTATTAGAATCATGGCACTTTAACAGTGAATTTTTTAAAAAAATTCTCCCCTGATTACACTCAAATCAGTCTATAATCACTTCCCCTACATCTTCGTTAGTTTTCTTCACGTATTCTTACTTCTTTTAGTATTTCTAAATTAATTCGACTATAGACAGTGTCACAAAATTTTACAACCGATTATTATTTTGTAATTTCTGTGAATTAATTTTAAAAGATGTTTGACTTATATTCAGGATCACAATCTTACCGAAAAATCGAATAAATCAATGAAATTGCATTTCTCTTTCGATTTCCATTTTTCTCAAAATAATCAAGTGACATATGGACGGGATATATAATACTTACCAAAGAGTATAAATAGTTACTAAATTATTATTATTACTATATACTCTGTGAAGAATTAGAAAATTGTGGAAAGACGTGCATCGAGCCAAATAATTTGCACACCTCCGTACAGTCGCGCGCCGATTCGAGAACTCGAACACTAGTCGAGGTCGTCGGACACGCTCGCCAGAACCGTGGAAGATTTTGCTCGGCGTTTCCAGGCCACTGACGGCTGGCTGGCGCGAAAACGTCCGCGAAAAGATGAAACATTAATTACTCGAAAAAGTCACGAGGCCTCCCATTGAGGCGTTCAATTTATATCAACCGGCGCGTCGACAGTGTCGATGGTTGCGCAATCGTTTCGCGTCCGCGGCTCGGTCCATCGCGTTTAATTATAATTAACGGGCTCGACGGCGCGGATTGATCTTCCCGTCGAGTTTAACTGCGATCCATCGATTCGTTTCTGTTACGTTCAGGCCTCGTAACCGGTTGGATCGGGGGAAATACTTCTTGAGCTATTGTGAAGTCCACGGATTCTTATTCTGTTCCCTGCTAATTGACCGTTTCAACGACAACGCAATTATCGGCGAGATTGCACTAAATGTTGCAGTCAGTTAATTACTGCTTCACCGTTGATTTATTTGAAGATGCGATAAGCCTTGCATGGAGGTTTTCATCGTTTGAGCAGTGTAACAGACGTTGTCGCTCGTTTATTATATGACGGTATTTTATACGTTTTTTATACCGTATCTTATCCCTTTTTTATATGGTTTTTTATACGTTTTTTATACGATATTTTATACGTTTATTGTATACGGCATTTTAAAGATTCAAGCAAGATCGCACGTGTAATGAGGGTAAAAGATCTCGTAACTTTATACAAATAAGAAATAGACGAATATGTTGTGACTATCTTCGTTTTCCAGTACTGGAAATATTTATTCCACGACTCTTATATTTACGTGGTACGCACAATGTTCATAACAATACTATGATTGATAAAACGATTCGTATCTAACTTATTTTAACCAGGATACTGAGCCATAGTATTGTTATTCTATTCTAGTTACTCTATTTATTTATCCTATCTATTTATACTAGCTTCATCAATAACTCAGCAGGGGGTGTTGATTACCTCATCTCAATATGAGTTGATATTGATCTATATCGGTATATTATCTAGGCATACTGAATTATGATGACGTCATACACACAATGACCATACTCAGTATTACCACTATATCCAGATATAGGTACTCATATATGTATATCAATTCCGGTGTATAGGGAGATGGGGGGGGGGGGGGGGGGGGGT